GGTAGCACACGCTGCCCTGCAGATACCAGTGGAGACGCTAATGCAGTTCCCAGCCTTGGGACAGCAGGAGAGTGACATCTCCTCATCTGGTCAGCTTTAAACTAAGTTCCACATGCACCATTTAGGAACTTTCTTCAAGAGAGATTTCCCAGTCTAACAAAGGCTGTTTGTGAGGTTGGGCAGTTGTGTGTGCCAAGCATGACTGAGGAGGTGTTTGAGGACTGGTTTGGGCATACAGGAGGTCCAGGAACTTGGGGGAACTGGGCTCTTCTAACAGGAAGGTAGACCATGGCTCATGGAAAGGTCAGGGAGGGCCTACAGGAGACAAGAACTGACTGGACAAAGGCATACCGTTTTATCTTTTGACATTGTACTGAACTTTCCTGAACCAAAGTGAGATGGAGGAACATGAAGGTGGAATGATGAGCCAGCTCTTCTTGCTGCCCAGCATGGGAGCTCGCTAGTCACAGCCACAGCCACTGTCATAGTGTCTCAACCAGTCTGACTTGTAGAAGTGGGGAATAGAAGGCGGCTCCCCAAGAAGGGAACCAAAGCCCATCCAGGGCTCGCTCAGGGTCTTCAGCAGAGTAGAGGTGACATCAGGAATAGAAAGAGGTCAGGTCCCCCGATACTTCACACACCAAGTTCCAAGGCAGTATATGGACCCAGAGCTCCCTCCCAGAGTTCCATGGTTTTTAGGCAGCTCCCCTGACTCTCCATCCCGTCTGTGGAAGTGAGGCCTACCACTGGACTGTGGGAAACTGAGCCTCTGTGTTGATTTTCTCCGATGTTTGTGGGGGGCTGTGGGAGGAGGGCTGAGCTCTCCTGGCTTCCTTTGCCGTCACCTGCTGTTGCCATCCTGGCAAGCTACAGGGGAGTGCTTCCCACAGATATGGTGGTTGGAATAGGAGGACCCCAGGTTTCTCAAAGCACCCTGCTTTTACAGCTGGGGAAACTGAGGCAGAGAAATGTAAAGAGCATTCCTGACTCTTCCTGGGATGTAATGATTAACCATGAGGCTCCCTGGAGGAAGTCCCTGGTCCCAGAATAGACAAGCTTTAAACCAGCTGGTTTGTCTGGGATATGGGGAAGAGGCACAGGACTGGGTGGCCCTAGGGACAGCCTTGGACAGAGGCAGGCAGTCGCCTGATGTCAACACTCACAGCCTGGGTCTTGCCAACGCCACGCGCAGGCCCTTGTGCCCCCACCCCGTGCTCATGGGAGGAGCCCTGTTCCCAGAAGCCTGTCCCTGGACGCTGCCGTCAGCCTCCCAGTTCATTTCCTGGTTAAACAAATATCTGTATTAAATGGCCCAGTTGGGACCCACCCAGAAGCAGCTTCAGAGGAGAACCTCGGGCCACCAAGCCTGGCAGGCCTCCCCATCAGCCGTCTCCAGCGAAGACACATCCATCATCATGGAGTCACTGAAGCAGGGTAGCCTGAGTGTCCCACCCTGAGTCTGCCTGTCTGGCAGGAGGGACGTGCAGAGCCGCCTGTGTTGGGGCCTTACCAGACATCTGTCCCCGACAGCTCTGAGATCATAACAATGCTAATGATGATAACTTCAAAAGTCTGGACAGAGTGTAACCTCTCACATCCATCATCATGTCCTTGTAGTAGGGGGATGCACACCCATTTTTCAGATGAGGCAACCACGGCTTGTGATGGGATGGTCCATGCTCACACAGCCACTCATAGCCTTGGGGGAGAGTCTGGCACTGTCCTATTCACAGCTTTGTGGCTGCTGCTCTGAGGGTCAGGGATTAGAAGGAACCAAGTCCAAGGGGACCAACTGGGTACTACACAGGGATACCTGCTACCTACAGTGAGCACAGACAGACACAGTCCATTGAGTGCAGTGGTCTTTAGCTTACAGTGGGCTGACCTAGGATTTTAAAATTTTTATGACGGGCTTCTGGAGTAGCAAATGCATTTTGTTTGGTTTGGTTTGGTTTTGAGATAGGGCCTTGCTACATTGTGCAGGCTGGCCCCAAACTCCTAGGTTCAAGTAATCCTCCTGCCTTATCCTTCCCTTGAGGGCCAAGATTACAGATGCTCACCACCACACCTAGATTAAGTACATTCTGACTTGCAGTGTTTTGAACTTAAGGTGGGTTTATTAGACACGACCTCAGCTTGAGTTAGGGAATGCCTGTACCTAGCTGTGCCACCTCTCTGCCAGTGTTTGGGTGCTGGGGCTGGACCTAGGATAGACTCTTGGCTCTGTAAAAGGGTAGGGTTCATTCATGTCTTGGTTCCCACATCTATAAAGTAGAGGTGGCTGCAGTCCCTAGATTCAGGGAACTAACATGTATAGACGGTAGAGCCATGCTCAGCAGCTCCTAAGCATTCCTACCTGACCTGTTGTATCATTAAGTAGATATCATTATCTCCTCTGACAGAGGAGGCTCAGAGAAGGGAAAAACGCCCCAGGGCACAAGACAGGAAGGGACAGAGCCTAGGATTTAAAACCAGATTTTTCGAACATTGCGTAACAGGTGAGTTACTGGCCCCTGAGGGGCTGAGGCCTGCTGCTCTCCTCATCTCTGACTCCTCCCTACAAAATAGCTCTGTATGTGGAAGCTTTGCCACAGGTCCCCTAGAACCCCTAGGCTGCTGAGGCCTGGACTGGCCGGATGCATCTTCCCTTACAAGGAACATGCCAGGATCCCTACACTGTGAGCCCTACACTGGCCCTGCAGATGCAGGAGCCAGACATGAGTCACTCTGGTTCCCATGGGAGGGAGGGGACAAATGAGGACCAGAGGCTTCCCCAGCCTCTGGACTTACTCTCTTGCCAGAACACCCCAGTTGAAGGCTAGACAGACTGACCTGGGCCAGCCTCTGCCCTGGTAGGATGGTCTAGGGACTTAAACTTTGGGGATGGACCAGCTGAGGAAGGACTTTGCTTATTTGGCACCTATATTGTATGCCGGACACTGTCTGATTTTATCAGTATAGGATGTCTGCCTGGCAGTGTCTGAAGATATTTTGGGTGTCACTGGTGGTCAGGCTGCTGCAGTCATCCCCTCGGAAGCAGCTGTGCCTTCCATTGATTATTACAGAACATGTAGGAAGGCTCCATGACTAAAAGCAATCTGTGACCCAGGGCAGAGAATGATTTCCCATGTTTTCCAGGTCAGGAGCTGTTGGTTCATGTTGTCAACTTGACAGGATCTAGAACCACCTAAGAGAGAAGCCTCTGGGCATGTCTGTGGGGAGTTTCTAGACTTGGCTACTTGGGGTGAGCAGCACCATTCTATGCTCTGGGATCCTAGACTGAATAAAAAGGAGAAAGTGAACTGAGTGCTAACATTCACCTCCCTGTGCTTCCTGGCTGCAGACACAATGTGACCAGCCGCCTCCCATTCCTGCCATGCCTTTCCCACCATGGTGGACTGTATTCCCTCAAACTGAGATCCAACATAAACCCTTCTTCCTTAAGCTGCTTTTGTCAGGTATTTTGTCACAGCAAGGAAAGTAGCTAATACACGTGCTCAGGGATAGCCATACTGAGGCTATGACCACATATCAGGGCCCTAAGAGAGTCAGAAAGTGAATTGAGAAGATCTGGGGAAAGGCACTGTGAGAAAAGGGAACAGCATGTGCAGAAACCTGCGTCAGGAGTGCATCATCACAAGGGCAGGGTGTGGAGATGAGTTGGTTTTTCCCTGTATTCGAAAGACCTGGGTAAAAAGACTGAGGTGTACACAATGCCTATTGTATCCTCACAATATGTGTGTGGTAGATAACTACACTTGTTGCACCCATTTTACAGAGAAGGGAATTAAGGCACAGAGAAATGGAATGTTCTGTTCAATGAGTGAGAGGCAGAGACAGAAGGCAGCTGAGCTCTGACTCCACATGTTAACTACACACTGTGTCTGAACTAGGCAGACATCCAATCACTCACATGTTCACCCAACGAGGGATTCCTCAAGGTCAGAAAGACATAGCTATAGCTTGGCACCAAAGGGCACAGAGCTTGCTCTGTCTGCACACCTGCATGGGGGAAACTGAGACTTGCCCTCAGAAAGAGATTTGCACAGGATTGTACCGGGAAGTGGTGGAACTTCCATTGGAAGCCAGTGTCCTGGCTGAGTGACCCCTGCCCCTCCACAGCCACCTGTCTCCAACCACACCTGCTGCTCTGCTCCCTGTACCCACTCTCTTCTTCATCTTTGAGCCTACTTCTGGACCCATCATTAGCCATGTCTGGTGTGTGGTAGGTTTGCTGGTGGTAAAAAGCCCAGGTGTCTGGCTCCACCCATCCCTCCTGTTGGTGGGCAGTCAGTGTATTCCCACATCTTTGAAGCTGGGTCCTTAGCTGGTTAAACAGCATCCATGATGAGGCCAGCCTCAGACCCAGAAGAATGAGCATCCACCATCTATTCTTCACTGGCTTGCTCATTCATTCTTTCACACAGAGGAGCTCCCATATGCCAGCACTGGTCACTCAGAGGTGGGCTTCACGTTCCTGTCCTCCAGGGGAGACATAGCCATTTTGCACCAATGACAGATGCAAGGGGAGGTGTTCAGGAAACACCTTCTGTAGAGTGGGTAGATGAAAAGAGGCTTTTTGGTGCCTGGCTACCATGGCTGAATCTTAAGCCTGGCTAGGAGCTGGGCAGGCAGAGGAAAGAGTACTGGTGGAACAGCATGTGCAAAAGCAAGCAGAAGAGGATTCCTTAGTATAGAGACCATAGGTTGTCAGGCTTGGTGGGACCGCAGCTGGAAGCCAAGCTCACTCCATGACAAGAGGTGTTTATTGAGCACTGACTGTGTATTGGGCACCATACTGGACATCACTCAGCAAACTTTTGAGTTAAATGCTCTTCATACCCACATGTACAGATGAGAAAACAGAGGTTCAAAGAGGGTAAGTCACGTACTGAAGGTCACACAGGTCGTGAGGAATGCTCAGACCCACCTCAGACTCTGGGAACACTCAGGAGTATCCCTTCAGCTGTCTCCCCTTTTGATCACTGTTTCTTTCACAGGTAGAGGGACAATCCAGAGCCCTTGTCATCGCACAGGAGCTGCTGTCTTCTGAGAAAGTGTGAGTGCCCCAGCAGCTGCCCATGGCCTTGAACCTTGTAAGCCTTGCCCCTCCCAGCTTGTCATGAAAGAGTTAATGCAGCCTCGATCCTCTTTCCCTCTGCAGATATGTGCAGATGCTGCAGCACTTAAGCCTGGTAAGTTCTCATTTGAATCGTCTCTAACTAACTGCCCTTTTCAGGGATGGACTCTGTGAGGCAGAGATTAGGGAGCAGTAACAGGTGTAGGAGCTCAGGCACTGGGCCAGGCTTTTCAGGGAAGCTTGCTCTGCTAATGGATGTGCAGGGTGGGAGTGCTAGCGGAGGGCACTGGGAGAGTGTTTGTAGACAGAGGGGCTATCCAGAGCAGTTTGTGTGTGCATGTTTTTGTGGTACTGGGGATGGATCCCAGGACTTCCAGCATGCCCCAACCCCATACATGCATCTTACATTTGGGTCCTTATGTCAGTGGTGACATGTCCACAGGATGACACCAATTGAGAGAATCAAAGGGCTTTCTCAGTCACCCCCGCATTGGGGACAGTAGCACCTGGCCTGGTGGTAAAGGGATCCTTTGGACATGGGGCAGAAAGGTAGCCTGACATGGGGACAGTCTGGTTCTCACTTTCTGCCAGACTCATGCCTCACAAGATTCTTTTTGGATCTTTTTGAGCTCTTGCTGTATGAAAGTTGGGTATGGTGACACATGCCTTTGATCCCAGCACTCAGAAGGCTGAGATAGGAGGATTATGAATCCAAGCCAGCCTAGGTAGGGCTACACAGGGAGACCCTATTTCAAAGACTGAGAAAGAACTGGATCATGGTCCCCATCCTCTGAGCTACCTGAGAACTTCACAGTCCCACTGGGATTCAACACTGGGTTCTCATTGCCTGGAATGCTCCTTTCTACATCTCAAAGACTGTCAGAGCCACCAGTGACCGGAACAATCACAGTGCATAAGTTGGTTTCGGGAATTGTGCCACCAAGTGCATTTGTCACACTGGAGCCTGTGCAGACAGAGGTGATAGAAACCCCCCACACATGGCTCCAAGCCAGGGAAGCTAGGCTTAAAGGAGACTGTAGACTTCAGGGTACTCCCCAGCCCCCCAACCCCGGGTCCATCCTCCTTGCTATTGTTGGCAAGTACCCCCCCACTGTCAGAGCTCTCTGTCATGCTGGAAAGGCCCCTGGGGTCATGGTGCTGTGGGGAGGGGAGTGGGCTCTGACTTCCAGCCTCAGGACTTGGCCAATGTCATCCTCGGGGTCTAGAGCATTTCTTTTTCTTTTTGCTGTTTTGTTTTGTTTTGTTTAAGAAAGAGCCTCCCTGTAGCCCCAGTCCTGCCCATCCATCAATCTCCTACCCAGCTACACAGCCTTGACCCCGTCATCTCCACAGCACCAAATAACACATTGGTGCAGCCATTCACCACTGTTCACCCACTACTCAGTTGTCTACATATCCACTTAGCCATTGACCTACCACCCATCCCTCTACCTCTGTGTCCATGCATCTTCCCATCCATCTATCTATTCACTCATCCATCCATCCATCCATCTACCATCCACCCACCCACCCATCTATCCACCCACCTATCCATCCACCTATCTATCTACCCATTCACCCATCTACCTCTATGTCTGTGCATCCTTCCACACATCTATCCTCCCATCCATCCACCTATCCATCCACTCATCCACCCATCCATCCACACATTCACCCACCTATCTATCCATCTACCCATCCACCTGTTCACCTGTCCATCTACCCATCCACCCATCTACCCATCCATCCATTCATCCAGCTATTGATCTACCACCCCGTGTCTCCACCTGTACGCCCATGCATCCACCTGCCCACCCATCCATCTATACATTGATCTACCTGGTCACCCACTCCTCCTTCCCTTTATCCATCAATCCATACACCCCCCCTTCCCCCATCTATCCATCAATCCATCCATCCACCCATGCATTCATTCATCTAAAAACCCCTCCCCTTTTCTCTCTCTCCCTCTCGCTCTCACTTTCTATCTCTCACCCATCTACTCTGAAATAGTACAGATTGCTTGGGTGCCATTGTTACTGAAACAGGCCTTGTACCCCCAAAGATGAAAAAGGCTTCAAATCTACCCTTGAGTAGGTCTTTGTGTGTGTGTGTGTGTGTGTGTGTGTGTGTTGTTGTTGTTGTTGTTGTTGTGTATGTATGTGGATATGTTTGCATGTGTGGGGGCACTTGCTTATGCATGTGTATGTATGTGTATAGACCTGAAGTTGACATTAGGTGTCTTCCTCAGTTACCTTCCACCTTTTATTTATTGCGCGCTCTCTCACTGAACCTGAAGGTTGCCAATTCCAGTCAGGCCAGCTAGCCAGTTTGCACTAGGGACCCCTTGTCTCTGCCTCCTAAGTGCTGGAATTGCAGGTGGCTGCCATGCCTGTCTGACTTTTATGTGGTTTCCAGGCATCCGAACACTTGTCCTCATGCTTGTGCCACAAGTACTTTACCAGCTGAGCCATCTTCCCAGACCTGTAGGTCTCATTTTGTGGAGAGGATGGAGGTGGGGAAATAGCATAGTTATGTCACCCGGTGTAAAAGAGAATTCAAACAATTGTAGGTTTTGTTGTTTTTTTTTTTTACATTTTATGTGTATGCATGTATTGCCTGCATGTAGGTAAGTGCACCCATGTCATGTAATGCCCTCGGAGGACAGAAGAGGCTGTCGGATACCGTGGAACTGAAGTTACGGACATTTGTTAGCTGCCATGTGGGTGCTGGGATTCGAACCCGGTCTTCTGTAAGAACAACCAATGTTCTTAACCACTGAGCCATCTCTCCAGCCCCACAACTGTAGTTTTGTGCAGAATGTATGGGGGCTTGTGGAAGGAATCCAGAAGGTTTGTAGGAGAGGCACCACTGAGTTGGACTTGGAGGGAGGCATTTCACCAGGTGCAGAAGGCAGAGTGGCTGGCTTAGGTAGATGCACACACCCTGAAGGTTCATGATGTGGGGGTGAAGGTATATCATCTGTGTGGTTAGACATGGATGTTTCAGAGAAGCAGGTAGGAAGTCTAACCAGGGATTGAATGAAGGCCCCTAAACCAAGGTGAGCAGGTTGTAAAGCTCCCACGATGCCAAGCTAAGGGCTGTGCTCTTCCTTGAATATGGGAGTTGACTTATTGAAGAGTGCTGGTCTTTGGTCACCTTCGTTTCTGTTTTCTGATCTACAACAAATTCCTTCCTAGGGGAAGCTAAAAATTCCCCCCAAGGCCCCTCCTTTGGACAAAAGCTTTTCAAGGCCACTTCAAAAGCCAGTCTGCCAGTGGGAAGAAAACAGGGAAGTAGGTGCCACCAGGTACCCTGGGAGAAGTCCCACAGCCCAGAAAGGCTTGTCCCGCAACCTCTTGGCACTGCTTCCTACTGTTCCCTTGCACTCCAGTCTTTTGCCTTGGCCTTCTGACTGTCCTGAAAGTGCTGTGGGGCACTCATGGGTGACAGCCTCCATGATCATCTGCACTTGCGTTGGCTCACAGGTGCCATCTACTCCATCACCAGTGTCTTTTCTTCATTCTTTTCTCAGCCCAGGGCTCACCAGAGAACAAGTATGTCCAGCACTCAGTGATGTGGAGTAGTGTGTGACTGTGCCCACAAACCCTCAGTGGAGTTCCATGTCATCTCATCAGGCCCTCGGTGATGTCCCGTGTCCTCTCTCCCACAGGCCCTCGGTGATGTCCCGTGTCCTCTCTCCCACAGGCCCTCGGTGATGTCCCATGTCATCTCCCTGACAGGCCCTCAGTGATGTCCCGTGTCATCTCTCCCACAGGCCCTCAGTGATGCCCTGTGTCATCTCTCCCACAGGCCCTCAGTGATGTCCCATGTTATCCCCCCCCACAACCCCCCCAGAGAAGTCCCATGTCATCTGCTCCACAGGCCCTCAGTGGTGTCTCATGTCACCCCCCCACACACCTTCAGTGAAGTCTCATGTCATTTCCCACATACCCCCTCAGTTCCAGTGAGAGAATTGGTCTCCCCTTTGTAACACTGTGGCTTAACCCAGAAGGTTCAAAGACCAGGGGTTACTTGATGGCTGGGGACTGAAGCCTGTTCATTTGTCTTCCTTCACACATCTGGTGACAGATACTAGCCATTTGGGAGCTCAGCTGGGCCTATGACCAGTAAACTTAACTATGGCCTCTCCCGATGGTTTCCAAATGGGCAAGTCTCAGCTTCCGCCCAGCCGGTAGCTGAGTGCCAAGAGTGATTATCCCAAGAGAGAGCCAGGAGGAAGTGCGTGGCATTTTTATGATCCAGGGTTGGAAGTCACGTAGCACCACTTCCACCATAGTCTGTTAATGGAGACAGTTAAAGAGGTCCACCCAAGTTCAAGGGTGAGGGACGTAATCTCTGCCGCTCAGTGGGAGGATTATCAAGCTTATATTGCATAAATATCCTGTGAGGTAGGAGATGTTGTGATCATTTCTAGAAAACACCACACACTACAGAAGCCTTTTTAATGATTCTGTGTCACTTAGGAATTGTTTTTGGACTTTTAGTAACAGCACCTCAAATGTGAAAACTTAAATAACTCAGAAGTTATTTTCACATGAAGTAAATCCAGAAGTAGGAGATCCAGGTCAAACTCAGAAGCTCCCCAAAGTCTCAGAAACTACATCCATTTCCAGGGTTCCTCATGAACACAGATAGCTGCTATGGCTCTAACCTTCACATCTGTATCTCAAGCAGAAAGGAAGAGGAAGGAGGAAAAGCAAACGTTTATGCCTCCCAGCTGGAGTTGGTTCCTTTGAAAATGCCTGCCTAAAAGTTTTGCTGGACAGCCTCTTCCATTTCACTGGTCACTCCTAGCTTCAGGGGAAGCCAGGGCAACTGCGAGTCAGCAGTGAAAGCCAAATGCAATTCGGTAGCTTTGCTTCTTTGTGTTCATTCAGAGTCCCAGGTGGAAAGGGCAACAAATACCCCAGAACAGCTCTGATGGAGCCTCAGGGAAGCATAGGACGGAGGACTCATGGGTCCTCCCCACATAACCCCTCACCAAGCACTGTCCCCTCTGACAGGCGGTGGGAAGCACAGTGAAGAATCTGGGACCCTCCAGGACAGGGTGGACCTCTCAGAGTGAATCTCCAGAGTGCCTAGGGCAAAGGC